ACTCTTTCATAGGTAGAAAAGACAAACAGTGGGACAGCATGGATTGTATTGTAACATCCAGCAAACTGTGTAGGCATTGTTAAGGACCTCATTCTTAAGCTCCATGAGGAAGCCCTGACTAAACTTGGCCTCAAGTTGGTAAGCCAAGGCATTGCAAAGATGACACTCCTGACTCTCCACCAGTAGATATTGTTTCAATTATTTTTCCAAAAGGCATGATAAATTACTAAAGGAAATTGAATTCTTTTAGCAGGTTCCCTTTGTAACCCATGAACAACACTGATTTGCTGATCTGTGGATAAGGTTGAAGAGTTCCCATGAGACCAGAGAACTACCTGGACTCTTGGGAACTCTACAGGACTACAAACAAAATACAGGCTTATTGTTACCAGATGATAAACAACTAGTGAACAGCCCACAAATGCAGCACAAATTCCTCAGACTTCACTCGTTTTTAGTCTGATGTCTTTAATAATTCTCCTCTTTACTTTCTGGTTTAAAAATAAGTTCACAGGAAACTTAAAGAATTTGCCAATAACATGAATTATAAGCACCTAGAAAATTTACACCATTATAAAATTTCTTCTTCGTCTCAATTTTACTGAATATTTAAAGAAATGCCACAAAATATTTAAAGAAATGGCCACCCCACGTTGCATAGTTGTTTTCATAACATCCTTACTTCAATTTCTCTAATTCTCATTTCTCGCTTCATTTTCCTGTGACATTTGTCTTTCATTACCAAACTCACCAGGTCTATATTCCTCCCGGGCTGAGTTAATTTGAATTTCTGTCTCAGCTGAAATTTCCAGCTTCTGTGTCACCTCCTCGGCCGTCTTCTTTGTGTTACTCAACACAAGGATGATACCGTCATCTTCCACCAGGGACCCCTGGGTACTGGTCAGATGGTAAAGCAAATTATCTTCTAGCTCCTTCATTCTCCTCTTGTTTGCAGTTACATCTCCCATGAGATGAGTTCTTTCTTTCTCCAGTTCCTGTTAATTTGCATAAATTTTTTTTTTTTTTCTTAATGAACACCTATGGTTTCGCCATTCCTTAAAAAGTTTACCTATGGGGCTGCTCTCGAGTTCCTGTACTGTCATTATCATATTTGACTGCAGGAAATACGGACATCAAAATTAGAGGAGGAGAATTAATGGAGGAAAGAAGAATTGGTGGCAAACAATGTAAAATGTGCTAAAAATATTACCAGTATTAAGTATTTACCATCTATTTATTTCCTAAAGTCAACTCATTTTTTTTTTTTTTTTTTTTTTTTTCCTTGCGTTATGCGGGCCTCTCACTGCTGTGGCCTCTCCCATTTGCGGAGCACAGGCTCCGGACGCGCAGGCTCAGCGGCCATGGCTCACGGGCCCAGCCGCTCCGCGGCATGTGGGATCCTCCCGGACCGGGGCACGAACCCGCGTCTCCTGCATCGGCAGGCGGACTCTCAAGCACTGCGCCACCAGGGAAGCCCAAGTCAACTCATTTTTAAGGGACTTCTGTGATCATATTTACTCCTGTTTTGAAACTGAAATTTATTTGAAGACAATATATGCGTCTCGGATTAAATACATTTACCTCTGTTTGGTTTCTTGTTCAAAAGGGCTCTATTGTTGTTTGAACGTGATTATTCTCAACTTGTGTGTTGAAATAGTATCCAACTCTGTGACAAGCAAGTGTCCAAAAGTTAGGCAAACAAACTGCGCTGCTACTGCAGGTACATCTAAATTGAAAAATCATCTTGACCTGAAAAGAAAAGATGCTGTCCTCTCCAAGAGAAGGGACATTCTGAATCCTTCCTAAAAGGCCTTTATGGGTAACTGGGGAGAGAATGGCTTTGGAAGATTATTGCCTTTATTGGCTATTTCTTCCTTTTGGTAGTTTGGAGAGGGAGAGACAGTGAAAGAGAAGGAAAGAAAAGATGGGGCTGGTGAGGGTGAGGGAAGGAGGAAACAGCCATGACACTCAACAAGCCAAGGGCAGCAAGAAACCCAGAGGCTGGGAGATGCTGCCAGCACCAAGTCAAATTGTACATGAAAGTCAAATTGTTTCATGAGAGACTCTAACTTGAAGTTAATAAAAGATTCAAAAGAGGAAAAGACAATGAGGAAATAGAATTTAAAATCTGAAGAGAAAGATACACATTAGCAAGTTTGCTTGAAAAGCTTTCTAAATATACTGTCTGTTGACAAGGTACCTATGCTTACCTGCATTACTAAAAGTTATGCACATTTCAGTGTAAATACAATATGGGGAAACGAGGGTTAAATGCAGGCGACTTGAACAGGAGAGCACTGTCGGCAGTTCCAGTTGTGCGGGTACCTGGGCATGTGATACCAAGCTCACACTGCTAGAGCAGCTTCAGAAAGGTAAATACTCAGTTAGGTATTCTGGATATGGCTCAGCAGGTTTTGTAGATTCTACTCCCTACCGAGAAAACAACAAATCTAAAGTTATATGCAGTGATGAATCACACGAAATCATATAAAACATAATAGGACTATTCATTAATTATGTGATTATTTACTCTCTTTCTAATAACATATAAATTACTTAATAGTTATGCTCCAAGGATTTTTTGGTTCACTGATACATTCTCCAACTCTTAGTACAATGTCGGATACATAGCAGGCTCTCAATATTGCCCAGTGAATGATTAAATGCTATACCCCTTTTCAAACTGATAAACTGAAACACATTAGTGTACCAGAAAATCTAGTCATGTCGTAGTGCCAGAAATACAGACATGAAAATTCTCCCTTTGTAACAAAAACCATGAAGTTAAAAATAAAGGTCATGGTAGCAAAACTGCACGAAGGCAAAAAGCAAGGAGCACTGGCCTCTGCTATACGTTCCAGCTAGTTAATCACCATTGGTTAAACAGTTATGGTAGGTGGGACCCTACCAGGCTCCCAACTCATGCTCTGAGCACAGTGAGTCAGGTCTGGGAACATTCTAGAAGAAAGAAAAATGCCCTCTTTAAGCAAAACAAAAGCTCAAACTTGCATCAATTCTTAATTCTTTGAGATACAGCAATGCAATTAAGACCTGCTCTTACTGTCTTTGCTTCCATGTGTTATTTGGTTACATTTGAAAGCTTCCTTACTGGTCATTTTATTTATTTTTTTTTAACATCTTTAGTGGAGCATAATTGCTTTACATTGCTGTGTTAGTTGCTGCTGCATAACAAACTGAATCAGCTATACATATACATATACATATATCCCCATATCCCCTCCCTCTTGCGTCTCCCTCCCATCCTCCCTATCCCACCCCTCAAGGTGGACGCAAAGCACCGAGCTGACCTCCCTGTGCTATGCAGCTGCTTCCCACTAGCTACCTATTTTACATTTGGTAGTGTATATATGTCCATGCCACTCTCTCACTTCGCCCCAGCTTACCCTTCCCCCTCCCGGTGTCCTCAAGTCCATTCTCTACGTCTGCATCTTTATTCCTGTCCTGCCCCTAGGTTCTTCAGAACCATTTTTTTTTCTTTTAGACTCCATATATATGTGTTAGCTTCCAGTATTTTTCTCTACCTGACTTACTTCACTCTGTATGGCTGAGTAATATTCCATTGTATATATGTGCCACATCTTCTTTATCCATTTATCTGTTGATGGACACTTAGGTTGCTTCCATGTCCTGGCTATAGTAAATAGTGCTGCAATGAACACTGGGGTCCATGACTTTTTGAATTATGGTTTTCTCAGGGTATATGCAGAGTACTGGGAATGCTGGGTCGTATGGTAGTTCTATTTGTAGTTTTTTAAGGAACCTCCATACTGTTCTCCATAGTGGCTGTATCAATTTACATTCCCACCAACAGTGCAAGAGGGTTCCCTTTTCTCCACACTCTCTCCAGAATTTATTGTTTGTAGATTTTTTGATAATGGCCATTCTGACTGGTGTGAGGTTATACCTCATTGTAGTTTTGATTTGCATTTCTCTAATGATTAGTGATGTTGAGCATCCTTTCATATGTTTGTTGGCAATCTCCTTACTGGTCATTTTAATTCATTTATTTACTAGATAATAATCTTGTATTTGAGACAATGTAGAAATCAGTATAAACAAGTGACATTCAATGGTTACTATAAAATTCCTTTCCATGGGCAGTTATAATAAATGCACTCACAATATGGTTACACTAGGAAACAAAGTGATAATAAAATTAAATGGAAATAATTCAAATATTTTTTATTGCCAAATTCTCAAATTTTACACACTCTTGCCATATACTTAAATTTTACACACTCTCATTATCATTTCTGAGTTCTTAAAGGTGAGCCTGATAGAAGTCCTCACATGAAGACAGGTAAGGAAAGGAAAGTAAAGCAGTGAGAAGAGTGAGCATTTTGATATCAGGAAGACACGTTTAAATTCTAACACCCAGGACTTATTAACTGCATGACCTTGGCCATGTTATGCAAGTTTATAAGCCTCAGTTTCTTCATCTGCAAAATGGACATAAAAACAGCTCAGAGAGTGATTGTGAGGATATCATTAGCAAAGAAGCTCAAACCAGTGACTGGATCATGACAGCTGCTCAGAAGACGTCTCTTCTCTCTATCCCCTCCCTTCATTCGTTTCCAGCATGGATTTTTCAGGTGCATTGTAATATTTATTTGGAAATGAGTAGTTTGAAAAGTAAAATTATAAGTTGGTACAAAATAAATCACACTTTAGAATTTCATGTATCATTGTAAAAGCATAATAAAGGAGCTGAAAGGGATTTTTTTAAAGGAGAACTTTATAATCTTGCACTTACAATGCTAAGGATGCATGCTTTCATGTCTGCTGGAGATGAGACCATGGGCTATCAAATCCGAAATCTGTACCAAGTCTTACTGAGCCTTCCTGCATAAGCCTTCCTCCATTTTTTTCCAATTACATAGCAATTGCCCTAATGTAGGCTTTAATTACTGCTCGGGGGACTACACTAACCATAACTGGTCTCCCCACTGATCTTTTGCTCTGCCATCACCCCCTTTTCTGCTCCCAGTCATAGAGGGATCTCCCTTTACTATTTGGAAAGGTCCAAAATTTTCAACATAGTTTGCAAAATCTGTTACAACCTACATTTCCAATCTCATCTCCACTTGAGAACTACAGGATGGAGACTAAAATTGTGCCTCCACATTGCTTATGAAAACCATTATTAAGAAAATAAACACACTTATTAGTAATACATACAATAAGGTACAAATTATTCCTTTCCTGATTTTAAAGATAGTAAGTAAAAGCTTGAACATTATTGAGTTGATTATGGTCAATTTAATGTCATTGTTAACAACATTAATTAAATAAAATTGTCACTTAAAGACATGCTTATATTCCCAAAGGATTAAAATAAGGCTAAGGAGTACATTTCCCCCATAGTTTGAAACTGATGAAATAATATACTCTAAAGTAAATACTACAACCTAAAGTAATATTTGGAATTCCAAAAGCAAACTGTTCATTAAATAGCACACCAGTGGCCAAACAGTAGAATATAACAATAGTTATGGGGCAAAGAAAGATACCTCTGAAAGAAAATAGAACAATTGCTATTTGCTTTTCATTTGAGTTTTAAAAATGGAAAATCTATGGGATAAAGTTTTAGGCGTATTTTAATTTGTATGACAGATTTAAACATATTTCTGTTGAACTACAACTTTAGTTCCATAATACAGTTCTTTTATAAATTAATACGAGGGGGCAAAATTAATCAAAATAATTTTGTCTATTAGCATTTTTCCCACCAAAGGGATTATCTCTTAGGGCTCACACACACACACACACACACACACACACACATTTGTGCTATGTATTCTATATATTAAGACCACAACGTAAAAATTTTATATAAACTGTGATAATGTGAAAAGTATCCCTGAATTGAATAAGAAAGTACATCAGTGATTCAGTACAACTTCATGAAATGTACTATTGATTAATTACACGATCAAAAGTTAAGTGGCTCAACAAGGATGCAAATGAAAACTCAAATTCTTTCTGTTCATAAACTTCAACTATAACCAAAGTTTTGGAATCAATAAAAGGAAATAGATGACAGCCTTCCACAGTTCTCATTTTTAACATATCACCCAGGCTTTATTCCCAAAGATTCTTCCTCTCTCTACCTTGCACTGGTAATTAAAATGAAAGATTAAACAACTGAACTCAGAAACAGATTTATTTTTTCTCTACCACCAATAACAATGGTGATAACAATGTCTATTTAGTGTCTTTATTAAGTTATTTCCCATGTCAGTTCCACCAAGTTTAGGTCCTTCCAGCTCCAAAATAAATAAATCATACACCTGTTTGCTCATCCGAAATTCTGAACAAGGATGACACTTGAGGCTTTGTATTGTGCGGCTAGTAGAAGCTATTAATTGATATTAATAGTTTTCTCCTAATAGTACATAGCTCTCTTTGAGATTCTTTCTTATTCTCTAGGATCAAGGTGAGAGTGACCCGGAGAGACTAGGTTTCTTTAAAGGAAAGTTTCTAGAGGGCTACAGGTTTGCTGCCTATTTAAAATGGTCTTAATACATCACCTTCTGATGACAGCAGCAGGCTATCTAAATATACTCACAGGTACATCAGGTGAACAATTGAATATGACCTTGATGTGAACTTGAACAGCCCATGCATTTAAAAAGACTGCCTTGAAGCACACAGAAAAGTATAAAGTCAGTTAAAAATCTGCCTTCCTTGCTTTCATAGGCTCTGAGGTTTCCCTTTGTCTCTTAAGCAAACAAACCTGCTCAGGCTGTATAGCTGAGCATTCATGAGACCAGATCCTGCATGATAATAAGGTTCCTCACTGCCTGTATTCCCAGAACACTGGACAGCTGGTGAATTTATGGACTCAAAGAACTAAGAGTAGCCTTTCCCTTGTATCCTAAGGTACTGTTCCAAGCTGCCTTTCACAAGAAGAATCAACAGACCAGTGAAGGCATAACTCATCCTGACTGAAGATGTTCACCATTTGTTTCAATGTTCCCTACATTTAGGGAATTTCTTAGATGCTTTCCAACATCAACTTCCTATCTGTGGGATCTTCCTAGCTTGCAAGAGCCCCCGCCCTTGGCCCAATAACATTTCATATTGATATTTTTACCATCACCCAAGATGTGATCATAGTAAGAGAGACTTCCAGGTCGCTGAAGTCAAAGAAACAATTTGGACTTAACGTTTTAGATCTGTATCCATAGGCACAGACATAGGCTCTTTTCCACTGAGTCACTAGATGATTAAAAAAAAAAAAAAAAATGCCCTGAAAGCACCAGAGACCAACTCAGACCCACTTGCCACCACCCAGGCTGAAAAGATTCAGAAAAGTGAACAGATTCAGGAGCACGGTGGGCAGAAAAGATGCTGCAAAAGGAAAAGCTGCTGGCAGAAAGGAAGCTACTTAAAATCCACCACAAATAAGTCTAGCAGCTCACTTTGCTTTAGAGAAAAAAAAATACAGATTACGTGTTGTATTCTAACGTGGTTCAGGGTAAAATGACTATTAGAACAGAATGAGTGTCACGTCACTCTGACCACACTTTTGGGAGAATCATTTCCTTTGAGCCTGGGACAAATTCTGATAATGAGATGATGTAAGAGAATAATGTCTGAAGGCACCCAACTTTCCCAGAAAGTAAGAAAAAGCCTGGCCTGGGATCCATACTGGCTTTTCAAGGCTGTTCAAAATCTTCCAGTGAGCTTCAAGTGCCCCTTACTTCATCTTAAAACTCTGCTGCAACAATTACAGCTCAGTCCTGGAGTTGTTGCTGTGTTTTGTTGCAACCAAAAATCTGGGAAGCCAAATTATTTTTTCCAAGGAGACTGTATTCATCTCAGCTGAATAGTAAGAAAGCCGAGGACAAGGATATTATTCAAAGTGCTATCAAAGCCCCTTATCTACCTGAAGCCAGCACTACAGGTGAAAGCAGAGCCTACAATACGGGCAATGGATACTGCCCGAAGACTCTCAGGGATGCGCCGGCTCCACAGATATGCTGTTGATCAAGAACCCCTGTCCTTCCTGAAATAAGGGTGTGGCAGCGCTAAACTTCCTCAACCACCTCTACTGAGATTTCAAAAATAAACAAGTATGTATTTGGAAGGATGTTATTTCTTCAACAGCCAGTCTGTGGTAGGAACGCTAGCATCGGTTCCTGCCATACTGAGGTCAGCAACCATGTGAATTTATGAAGTTGGATTAAAGGCTTTTAATGCAATTTCCAACCGTATAACTCTATGATTTATGTACAACAAATTAAAAAGTAAACAGAGAAGATTCATAAAAAAGGAAGAGGGGAAGAGAGAGAGAGAAGGAGATAAACATAAGGAAGGGCTCAGAAGAGCAAGCATGGTACGACATACAGAAAAGGTAAAAAGAATGGGAGGGACAGATTTCAAAGGTTTTGCCAATAGATTTAACCTAAATAACTCTTTAGGTCAGTGTAGAAGGGAGGTATAAAGTAAACCAAACTCCACATTGCCATCGAACTCAGGAAAAAAATCGATAGCAACTTTCAGAGTTCACGCAGTTTCACCAAAGCAGTCCTATTAAAATCCTCCAGACTTCTTTCCTTAAGACTCAGATGTTCCCCAGAGAAAATGGTGACTCAGAACACAGAAGTTATAAATTATTGGCCATTTTTCATTGAGAGAAAACAGAAATGGAGTTATGCTTAGAGCATAATGAATCCAGTAGCCCTCAGAAGGTGCACAGTGAAATCTACTGTCACCAACTTCTGTCTTCCCACAACATACACAGAGCTATCTTGGATAACAAATAAGAATTGGCAATGTCACATTATCTGAGTAAAACATTTTAATTTTATATTCCAAAAGCATAATAATGAGTCGAATGAAAGAAAAAACTAGATGTGTACTAGACATCTAAAAATCAACAGGTGACTAGAATTAATAATAGAACAAACTTCAGAAAAATAAAGTAATATAAATCCAGAACAATGATGCTGATACTGAGACTGATAGTCTCATAGTTACACCAGTCCCCTATATAAAATCAACTGATGATCTATATGATTTATGCGATGCAGATGCAACATATTGGGTAGATAATTAGTTATTAGTTATTTAAGACACTTGGAAATTAATAATGGAAGAAACATAGGAATTAAAGGAGGGGACTCAATCCTATTACAAATTTCATCATATCATTTTTGTCAATGAAAACATCACAACGTGATGCAGAAAGTGGTAGGGCCATACTTCACTCACCTGCTTCTCTGTGAGAATGACTCTCCCCAGTAACTGATCTTCTAGACCTTTCGTGGTGACAGTGAAGTCGATGATGGAGGTCCGCGCACTTATTTCAGGGGTGTAGGCTGGATTGGGCAGCTTGGTGGTAATGTAGAGTCTGAAGCCATCCATCACATCAACCTCTTTGTCACCGACCTTCACCTTTTTTATAAAAAAGAAAGTTAAAAGTAATAAAACAGAGATACACCTTACTGTGTGCTTTTTGTATAGGATCCAGTATTGCTTTTAACAGCTATGTACCAGGAGATCATCTGTATACTAAAAAAGAAATGGTCATTAGGCATTCACAGGGCTTTAAGCCACTAGGATGAAAGGAAAGAAGGATGGAAATAAGAGAGGAAGGAAGGGAGGGAGGGAGGGAGGGGGGAAGGAAGGAAGTTAATTCAATATACACCATATAATATATAGAGAATTTATCACCAAAATTGTTGTGGTCATACTGCAGAAGTGAGATGGATTCCCCACCCAAAATTTGGTTCAGAAGTCAAGACTGATGATGTCACTCATGTAACAAAAAGATATGAAAATGTTTATTATTCATATGAGACTTTCTGGAAATATTAGGGTAGGCTCCCAAACAGGTCCAAAATAAACCTCACTTGAGAGAGTAGGGAGGGGAAGCTGTTTTAGGGTTTTATGGTGGTTACCCAATGGGGCTGGGATGAAGTTTCCCAGACATGGTCATGAGCAGAGAGCTGCATGATTTGAACTTCCCACCAGTGCCAAAGGAGAGTGGACCCGCGTTTTCTTACCAGCTTGCCCAGATTGGGGATGGAAGGGGAGAGGGTCATGACAGGGCTTGAAAACTGTCCAAAGTCAAATATCACAATTGAGTCGGACTTTATTCTACAAGTGAGGTAGATATTCCTAAAAAGACGGCTGTTGATCCCAACTCAGGAAGCGTAGAAGAGAAAAGCAAATGCCTCAAATCTGAACTGCTGCTGTTCTATAAGGAACATGAATTGCTATTGTAATAATAACACAATACAGTGTTTTTCAGAAGCAAGATATTTGTTCCAGTTTGTTCTAGTCTGCTCTGTTTTCCTTCCCGCTAGAGTTAATGCAGAAAACCCAAAATCCCAGCTGAGAGGTGTACCCGCACATCGACACCATCCATATTTGTTTGTTTGTTTCTCCCCAAGAAGAAAGATGTCAGCTGGAAGTATAATACGACATCATTTATTTCTGCCTACCTTTAAAACAAACTTTTCGCATGACAGATATTTTTAATAAGTTATCCTCCCTAAGTTCCCCAACCCCACTGCCATGTGGCCAAATAAAAAATGGCCAACCCCTCCCCTCCTGGCTGTTGCTTTCTGGAAACCCAGGCTCCTTTGGGGGACTGGGAAATGGAGGATGGGAGAGGAGCAAATGAGCACACAGGAGTGAAAAGCAGGTTTTCCCTCCAAGCCTGGCTAGGGGAATGTGCAGAATTCCTTGCGTTCCGTGGGTAGTGCCCCCCGGCCCTCTCTTTCCTAGTGCCCCAGAGTTTGACTAGCTGCCCAGAGGCCCTGTGGAAGCGGACACTCTGCAAAGGCACTGACTGCCCCGTGCACAGAGCAGCAGGACACACACCCCTCCAGGGACTGCACAGACCTGGTTGTGAGGTTGCCAGTCATGACCATGAGCTGTAGACTTGAGAGCCCTCCCCTGGCCCCTGTAGTCTGTAACCCTGTGGACTCTTCACGGAGCCCCATGGAGAATGAAGGAGCAACACAATGACTAAAGGTCAAGTTCACTCCAACATGTTGGGAGCAGGTGGATACACAGCCAGATTTTGTTTTCTTAATGAAAAACATTTGACATTTGTTGAGATCCAAGTTTTAAAGTTAGAGCCACACCTTTATAGTAGCCATTCTTATGTGGTCCTGATAATTGCTTACCTAACAAATAGTGGATATTCAGAAACAAAGAAGCTTATTGAGCGAACTAATGCAAAATTGTTCAAACTGAACCATAATAAAATGAGGCCGTAAAAATATTTTTACAGTACGTAGTAGTGCTTCCTGATATAGGTGAGTGTCTAAATGGTAGAAATTAATGTGTCTTCCTCACAGTTTCTAAAGGAGACGCTCAAATTGCAAAGTTAATTTTCTCTTCATATTATGGTAGTAAATTTCAGAGAACATAAATAACAAACCCAAATAGGTGCTATATAATTACTTCTCTAAAATTTCTGAAAATCTCTTATTTTGTTTTCAGGAGACTTATCTTTAAGAGGAAATACCATACATCTTGCACATAGTGAAACTGAAATGTTTATCTAAATTCCCTCATTGGGACCCCTATAAGGGAACAGACTAACAGAGCAGGAATCTCAATCCAGCCTAGTGAGGGCTGAGAAGAGGCAGAGGTTGGTTCCGTATAATCAAGGAAAGAATAGAGAGAATCTAGCTCTTATTTAACAAGCACAGGTTTTCTCAGAGGCAGATACAGATTTTTGTGAGGCCAGATGCTTATCTAAGCTGGGGGCCACTTTAAAAAAAAATCATTAAAGAATTTTTACAAATACAAAATACCAAAGTGAACATGTAATGAGAATTGGGGAAAGAAATCACTACAAAGTCCTCATAATTGAGAAATTCAGGTACCTTTCCTCTGGGATCTCTAGGTATTTTATCTGAATGCTTACACACAAATGCTTGTCAATCATAATCTGGTTTCCCCTCCCCACAGAACTCTCTACAACTCCCAGTCACCCCAGCATTCATGGGGCCTGTGCAAGTGAGGGGCCAGAAAACTTAAGCTACATTAGGTTTATGTTAAATCTGCCTCTATTACCAGAAGAAGGAGGCCCCAGTGGAGCCGGAATGTGTATAAATCAACTAAAGAGTTTGCTGCCCAGTGGAGAGGAAATATTACGAGCCTCGATTCTGAAATGTGCTAAAGTTACAAACATGCATAGGCTGAGAAGGCTGTAGGTGGTCATTGTCACTGGGACACAGCCACGTGGTCAGGCACGTTGATCCATCAGAAAGACCCGAGTAGACATCAGAAGATCAAGGTCTAATCCAGCCCTCTGACCAATGCCCATGACCGGGAGTCCTCCTCTTGTCCTCTCTGGGCCTAAGTTCCTTTCTTTAAAATGAGAGTAAAATAAAAATATCTACCCTGCCTACCTTGAAAGATTCTTTCAAATATTAAATGAGATAAAATGGGAGGACTTGATTTGAAAATATGTTAAAAATGCTACACAGGATGCTGTTATCCTCATGGTTAATAAGGAAACTCAGAACATCCGTGTTCCAGCAGTAACTTCTGTTTTGGCTGAATATCCTGACCTCTCACCAGAGGTCCTCGGTGTACGTCAGAAACAAACTCCAGGGCTTAGCGAGGGAGTATGTGCTGTGTGTGTATGTATGTATATGTGTATTGTATTGTATATCAATTAAATGAATCCCTGCTGGAAACCAAACCCTTGGAGAGAGAAAGCAGGAGAGGAATGAAGGGCTGACCACAGCCAGGAGGGCCTGTGACGTCACCACCCGCCCCAAACCCCTACGGCAAGAAGACAGTGACCTGCTTTTCGGTCATGGCCTGTTCATTCTCGGCCTGCGCCACATCCAGCTCGGCTTGCCTGTAGTCCAGCTCAGCCTGGGCCTTCTGCAGATCCTGCATGGCCAACACGTAGCGATTCTCCTGCACCACCAGGTTGGCCTGCACGGGACACACACAGGGTGAAGAGATGGGCAGCAAACCGAACATCCAGCATGTCGGAGTCTGAGAGCTCAGCAGCCACGTGTTACACCTGTTCTTTGATCCACCCCTAGACTCCTTTCAAATTGCATGGTGAGGAACAAACCTTAATGTGAACTTGACATGTTTGTAAGCAGAAAATTATAATTCATTAGAAGAGAGTCAGCAAATTTTTTCCATAAAGTTCCAGATAGTAAATATTTTAGGCTTTTGGGGCCAACAGGAAAAATCAAGACTATTGTTCAGGTACTTAATTTAAAATTTCACGAGCCATACAAATACAGGTGGTGGGTTAGATTTGGCCTGTGGACCACAGTTTGCCAATCCCTAAATCAAAACATTGTAATATTAAATGTATATAGGCAAATCACAGAACATTTTAATATTGAGTTGTAGAAAAAAAGAATCTGAATATTTAGAACCATCTGCCTAGCAGGGCTCATCACGTTAATGAGGATGTTAAAACAAGACAAAGGATGAAACATGATTAACCACTGAATATAAAGATCTAGGTTTTATGGGTGGTGATGGACTTGATAGCATTCCTGTCATTTGCATATATTGCTTGCCATCCAGAAAAGAACAGATACTTGAGCTGTGACCAAATAATAATATTTGCTTTTAGGAAGCTACTAAAAAAGACTCAAAAGACATAATCAAAAGCAATACTGGAAAAAGATGAGGTGTAGAAAATAGTCTATGCTTGCAGGTATTAAAATCCTTTCGAAAAATATTTGAAATCAATGTTCTCCCTTTAAGACTTACTAAAGTAACCCACTAATGTCAAACTATCGCAGCCCAAAGATCTTGAATATTTTCTAGGACTTTACTCAAGAGGGAAGGGGATATATATATATATACATATAGCTTATTCACTTCATGCTACAGGAGAAGCTAACACAACATTGTAAAGCAATTATACTCCAATAAAAATAATAATAATACAAATTGTTTTAAATGAAACTCTCAAAAGCTACTAATCAAAGGGTATAAAATCTTTCAAATCCAGCTGCTCACCTTAGAAGCCATAAGACTCTATTAAGATTACTTAAACTCTGCAAGCCTCAGTTTCTCCATTAAGATATTGAAAAACTACCTCCTAGGATTTGTGAGTGTGTGTGTGTGTGTGTGTGTGTGTGTGTGTGTGTGTGTGTGTGTATTACATAAAATAACATATGTAAAAACCCAAGTGTGGGACCTGGCACATAACAAGAGTTTGATTAAATAATACGATAGATATTATTATTTTTATTATCCGTGTTCAACATTTAAGACTCTACTGTTGTTATGTTTTGCTTATGTAAACTAACATTTAATGGTTTTCAAAGAGTGTCCAAGGAGAAATCTCATATGAATGACATTGAATAGAATCTAAATTGCTACTCTTATAATTAAATTTGTTTAAGTTTACTCACTACTAGAAGTCACTTGGCCCATCTATAGGAATTGTAAGATGAAAGAAGAGTCTCCTTCACTAAGTAGTGGTGAAGAGGTTCCCACAAGAGTTTAAGGAGCGTCCTCAATCTCTCTTTACTTGGGAAGCAGGAGTTCGCAAGTGAAGCCCCTCCAGGAATAAGTGAAGTTAGAGCTCGTGGTCTGTATTTCTTAATATATTGAGCAGAGCTGCCGATGATAACCTGCCCTTTCTTTGTCTTCTACTTCCCTCTAAGCAGTGACTGTGTAGCATCTACATAACTACATTTATTTTTCTGACAATGGCAATTAGGAGAGACCTGACAAACTGAAGACTCCCAGATGCTGGATGCTCCTAAGGACATAGGGGGCACAGAACAGGCTTCTCAGAAGAGAAGCATAGGTCCCCCCTCCTGACTGTATTCCCTTCACTTCCTACTGTAGGACCTATGTTGTCCTGGGACTGGGTGGAGCCTGAAATGTACAGAATGTAAGGGAGGAGATGTCATCGTTCTTATGTAAAGCTTGTTCAGAGCATCCATTATTTTGTACTGGTTTCAGCTCATTTTATTTAAAGTAACTACAACAAAATAAAAACTCCCCATTGTGAATTCAACTGTAATTCCCTTAAGGACACTTATGTATGCTTACCCACTGGAAAAATTTGCAAAGGATGCCCTGTACTTTTCACTGGATATAGTTGTTATAATTCAGTCAATATCAGAATGCCCGATTGTGAGCTATGTTGGAGTCTTCATTGGTCCCCAAATCCACAATGCCCAAAAGCATGACATCAACTATTTGCTCTAAAAATCTCTGAGCCAAATGAATCCCTTCTCTTTTAAGTTGCCCTGGGACCCCAAGGACCTCCACCACTGAATAAATAGCCCTGATATGGGAACAATGAGAAAATAAAATGGGACTTGCAACTGGATCCCTATGTTCTTTTCATTCTTGATTATTTTTAGCATGATTATTAAGTTCCTTGGGTAGTTTATAAGTGTACGTGGATTTTAGTTGATGGCTGAGTAAGATCAGACTTACAAAAAGCAAAATAATCGACAAAGCCATAACATATGAGTTCTGAGGCATCAGTATTTCATTTTCAAGACAGGTACTTGCCTCTCCATCTGCTAAAGACTGAGTGTCACTGAATGCTGGGGGGATGTGGACAAATGAAGCTGAGAAATGCAATTACTCAAAGGGAAACACTGGTATGCTCTCAAATCATTTTAAATAAAGGATGATATTCAGTTTCTTTCCTGAGGGACAAAAGAGGGAGACGGAATAAATGCTATGTTGTCCCCGCAGCCAAGACCAGACACCAGTGACTGTGTCCACCCTGCCTCATTAACAGGAGTCCCTGGCAGGAGATCTTGGACATTGTTGGTGAATCCTATGCTAGAGTTTCCTGTGTTTCTTTTTTTCAAGTTGACATTGTGGAGGAAAAAAGTGTCCAGCAGCCCACAGTGGATTTAGTACCCTTGTAGAGAGTCCATGCTTAAGGCTCAGACAATACCAATTGGAGTTGGATTACAGAGAAGAAAGAAACATCCTATGCTCGGCCTGTCTATCGCTAGCTCTCCCCATGGACTTGGGTACAATGAAACCTGAGGCTTCTGTGTTGCATGAAAGGCAAGCCCAGTTGACCCAGAGACCCCCCTGCCGGCACACGTCCTGCAGTTCCACCAAGGAGGCTTACCTTCAGGGGCAACACCTCTCTGTTTGTAGAAAAGAAGGAAGCCATGGCCTTGGTCCAGGAACAAAGCCCCGCTACATTCCCACATACACGTTTAGCAGTTCCCATGTTGTAGTCTGCCATCTCAAAGTAAGGATTCAAAAATTCTATCACTTCTTCATTGATTGTGTCTTTGGGGAATTGCTATGGAAGAATGGAGTAAAATAAAGTCAAAATACCTCTTTCCATGAAGTCATAATCATGTTATGCTTGGGGCAATGCCACTGAAACAGTTAAAAAACTGTTAAAACCAAGAATGGATGAATGATATCATATTTTGTTGATATTTCAGGTTATTAGGCAAAAATCACATATATTTAGGCGTATGAAATGGTACATATATTTAGCATTGTATATAAAAATGTAAAGCATATATATTTAGACATAAATATTTAGCATTTAGCAGCAACCAAATGCTTAATGCATTCAGAGGGAGGTTCTATTAAACTCACCTGAAATGTGAAGAAAATAATTTGGACATTAGGCCTTCAGGGTGATGAATTAACTTTTAATCATAGAACTATCAAGATTATGAGACAATTGTTCTTTTCTGGAGGGATAAAATTTTAAAATAGTAGCAGAAATTGATTATGAGGGCCTTCTTGTATTAAGAGAGAAGACTGACCAAACAATGAAATTGGATCTTTGAAAAGTGGTGTTTGATCATCTAACCGAGGATAATTAAATATTTTCCAAGTAGAAAGAAATTTAGCACCTAAATAATTCAGAGAAAAAAGCCTTCACAGAACATACATAACACAGAGCAAAACACACTTTCATTCAGACCTCTTTAAATGCAAGTTTCTTTTATGAGACTTGAAAATTAGTGAAGCCAGAAGAATATCTGGGAACAATAGAAGGATGGTGGTAACAAAAGGCAAATAGCAAGGTTGCTTCCAAGAGCAGTGGCTTTGCACCAGGTATATAAGGCAAGTGCAATTCCATCGCACATTTATCAGTGGACACTTTTTAAGCCCCACCCCACCCAAGGACCACTGCCATTCCACACGCTCAGTCTGATTAATCACTACCTCCTATCCAATCAAATAGCATGTTATTCCTTCATGGTGGCCCTTACATCACAGAAGCTTATATTTTAATTATCTGAAATGAGTCTGTATGGCCCACTGGTTTCAGAAGCTATTTGGTGTTATAGCTGCTGTAAGGCACCTCACAAGATGCTCTGGCCATAGCAGCCACTTGGGCAATGATAAATTAAAAACTGAAGGAAAGACAGTGCTGAAGTTACTGCTTGGGTTATGGATGGGGGATGGGTATTCCCAGTTAGTTGTCTCAAGATCTAAATATTAAAGATAAAACAATAGAAGTGCCAGAAGAAAACACAGAAGCATTTATTCTGCCTTAGAGATGGGCAAAGATTTCCTAAACAGAACACAGAAAGCACTGTAAGGAAAATATTGATAAATTGGACTGTACTAAACTTAAGAATATCTCCTTATCAAAAGACACCATTAATGGAACGAACAACTAAGGCAGAAAGTGGGAGCAGATATTTGCAAACATATAAATGACAAATTACCCATATTTTATGTATAAATTCTACAAAATAATAAAAAATTTAAATGTACAGGAGATCTGTACATTTAAATGTACAGGCACTTAACCAAAGAGTTCCCAAAGGGCTCATAAACTGATGAAAAGTTTTTCAGCATCATTTGTCATCAGAGAAATGCAAACTAACCCACAATAATAAGACAACACAACAAACCCATCAGAATAGCTAAAAGTAGAAAATGGTTAAGACATGGAGCAACTTATACACTGCTTGCGGGTATGTAAACTGATACAACAATTTTTGAAACCTCTTTGGCACTATCTACTAAGGCTGATTAAATGTATAACCTAAGACCCAGAAATTCCACTCCTGAGTACAGAGCCGATAGAAGTGAAAACATGCCCACTAAATGACCAATATTCATAGTAGCTTTATTTATAATAGCCCAAAACTAGTAACGTCTCAAAAATCCATCAACAATACAAGGACAAATAAATTAAAGCACATTACAGCATTTCACGCTGGTGCTGGTAGATATAAACTTATGAGAAACGATTACTAAATTTTCAGAAATTTTACAGACTTGTTAAATACAGGCATTATTTAAAATTAAATTATAAAAACTTACAATTAAATGTTATTTTGAACAAAAATAATGTATAGTCAAAAGTCATCACGTTCTAATTATTTTGCTACATTTTACTATCTACATTTTTGAGGTCATTTACATTTATTGTATCTACCCAGTGGGACTACCTTATCACAGCATGCTATCATGTACCTCTTCCCAACTCTACATTCAGCAACATTATTTTGGTAGCTTGAAATCAGCCATTGTGGGGATATTTACACTATGAAAATTGGCAAACACTACAAATCAGAGCTTTTTCTTTTTTCTCACCAGAGAACCAGTTGTTAAACATTTGTCACACACTATTGCATATTCATCTACTGGAAAGCTGTGTAGCAATGAAAAAAGAATGAAATACTGTCCTGTGCAACAATAAGAAAGAATCTCACAGACGTGTTGAACGAATAGAGGTCAAAACAAAAGAGTTCATATGATATGATTTCATATACGTAAATTTCAAAACAGGTGAAACTAATTATCGGGATAAAGGTCAGAATAATGTTTATCTTAGGGGAGATTACTGACTGTGTTGGGACACAAAAGAGATTGCTGGGGTCTGGAAATACAAACCTTGATTTCAGTGTTCATTAACAGGTATAGACATATGTAAATATTCATTAAGCTATACCTTTTTTTAATTAAATTTTTATTTTATATTGGAGTGTAGTTGATTTACAATATACACTTTAAATTTGTGCATTTTATCGTATGTAAATGTTACCTCATAATAAAATTTAAAAGATGCAAATTAATACTCAAAAAATTACAATTGAGACTTGTGAAATAAAAATATATACGTACTCATACACAAATAATATATGCACATATGTTTGGGTTCCTTAAAATGATTTTTTTAACTTTTACTGAAATATGCTGCTGCTGATGTTTTAATATGCCTAAAATCTGCCAGGAAAAGCTCTAATACTTATAATGTCTTATATTTGAAAGAGAAATTCTACTCTGAAAAAATACGTAAATATAAGTTGAAAATATGTATGTAGAGTATTATTCAGGCTTAAAACAGAAGGAAATTCTGCCATTTGTGACAACATGGATGGACCATTATGCCAAGTGCTATAAGCCAGAGAGAGAGACAAAGCCTTCATGGTGTCACTTATAATAGTCAAACTCATAGAAGCAGAGAGTAGAATGGTGGTAGCCAGGAGCTTGGGGGAGGAAGAAAGGGGAAGATGTTGGTCAAGGGTCAAGGGTCACTTATGCAAGATGAGATGGTCCTGGGGACCTAATGTACAGCAATGTGAATATCGTTAACAATACTGTATTGTTTACTTGAAATTTGCTAGGAGGGTAGATCTTAAATGCTCTCACCACAAAAAAAAAAGGAAAAAACGGTAATTATGTGAGTTGATGGATATTTAATTGGCTATTTATTGGATTTAGTGGATGGATTTTGGTGAAATCATTTCACAATGTATTAACATATATCAAAACATCAAGTCATACACCTTAATTATACAAAAGTGTTATTTATCCATTATACCCCAATAAAGATGAAAAAAATTAGTAAGTTAAAAATATGTCCACAGAGTAGATTCTCTTCAGAAACGTCTTCTATTAAAGAACCCAGATACTCTAATGAAGTCTGAGTCCCCTCCTAGCCCATCATTATTGAACCACCAACCTGTAAATTCTGTAAAAAGTTTCCTGCAGTCATCAGTTTTAAAGATTCCTGCCAGGAAGGAATTGTACAGCGTTTTTCTAGGTCAGTTTTCACTGCATTGACTTTCCTCTGAAACAGCAGCAGCACACAATCCATGATCCTCATGATGAGATGTGGGGGTCGGCCCAGAGTGCGGACAGTAGCAATGTCAGAAGGCTTGATGGTCTGGGGAGGAAAGGCGGTCATCACCCAAAATCTCAGACAAGATAAGTGAAAACAAACTTTTACTCCCTAAAGGCTACTATTTCAATGGAGGAAAGCAAAGCATTTTTAAGTTTGATGCAGTCATGGGAGCTAGATGCAGATTTAATCCCCAAGAAAAACCACACATACCCCAAAGTTCACATTTTTACAATTCAAAGTGACAGCCAAAGGCGATATAGTGAGAGGCGTGTTCGCGAGCAGATAAGGAGCTGTGACTTCTCTAAAATTGTAATGACAACTTAGCCTCAGAAAAAAACTTATCTGAAAGGAAAAGAATCATCAGCACTTAAGTAGATTCCAGGGATTCTAAACCAGGAAAACTCCAGAATTTGCGGTGCTTTTTTTTACTCATTAGTTAGGTAGGTCAAGAATCTGCCTCTCTCTCTTAAGACTTGTCACCAGGGACTGACACTAGTTGTAGCCTCAGGGCTGCCAGATTGAATAGTTAGAGGTTTCTTAGCTGGGAACTAACCTTTAAATGATGGAACTTGAGCAATAGGAATTTCACTAAGCTCTTAGAAAAGTTCTGTTCCATTTCTAGTACAGAGATTCTTATACAGAAAATTACTTAATAGTCACCTAGACTTGTTGTAGTCGATAACTGTTCTATCAAACTCTTTATGGAATAAACATTGGAAAAATATTAAAGTATATGACACTGTCCTATTTCTAGGACATAGTGTACATTCATTCCTTCTAGGTCTTGAAAAACCTTCCATCCGATTTGTATTGGCATCCCTCCTGTCAAAGAAAGGTACGCAACCCCCTTCACATCAAAGCTAATGATCTTTTCTCTGAGAACTGGGACAAAAAAGAAGAAAACCACGGAACTTGGTCATTAGAAATTGGAACTATCTACTTTGAAAAGGTTTGTTTCAACACACTAGAATTTGTGAATTCTAGACAGCTGGAAGTGAAGGGGAATTTGTGGTAAAGAACTGGAAATTGCAGATAGACCTTAATTTGAGATGCTTGGCTATAAAAGAAAGGAGAGAAATATAATACCTGCCAATAGG